GTCTCGGTCTCCCAGAGAGCTAGGATTACAGGCGTGAGCCACCACACCTGGCCTTCTTTAATTTTTGTCAGTAATATTTTGTAGTTTTCCCTGTATATGTCTTGTACCTTGTTTATTTTTTTTCCTGAGCACATTATTGTTGTTGATGTTATTCAAATGTAATTCTTTTCTTAGTTTTATTTCCAGGTTGTTCATTAGTAGTGTATAGAAATAAAACAGATTTCTGTGTATTGATATGTTGTTCTGTAACTTAGCTGTATTTGTTTGCTAGCTCAAATAATTTTTTTGAATTCCTTAGTATTTTCTATATTAAGATCATGTGATTTGGAATCTGTGAATAGTTTTACGTCTCCTTTCACATGTAGATACCTTTTATTTCCTGTTGTTAGCTAATTGTTCTGGATAGAACTTTCAGTACAATCTTATTTTTTTATTTCAAAATATTAATTAAGATGGTACAAGTGTTTTTGTTACATGGATATATTGTATAAGGCTGAAGTCAGGGGTTTTGGTGTGTCCATCACCAGAATAGTGTTTATTGTGGGCAAATTTTTATCCTACACCTACTCTCCCTCCCACCCAACTTCTTGGTTTCTCATGTTCTTTATATTGCTCTGTGCCCATGTATATCCATCTAGTAGCTCCCACTTATTATTGAGACCATGTGGTGTTTGGTTTTCCATTCCTGAGATAGTTCACTAAGGGTAATGGTGTCCAGTCCCCTCTACATTGCTGGAAATGACATTATTTACTTCCTCTTTCTTTTTTTTTTTTTGACAGTGTCTCACTCTGTTGCCTGGGAGAGAAGGCAGTGGCATAATCATACTCACTGCGACCTCAAACTGCTGGGCTGAAACTATCCTCCTGTCTCAGCCTCCTCAGTAGCTGGGATTACAGGCCCATGCCACCATGCCTGGCTAATTTTTCTATTCTTTTTGGAGACTGGGTCTAGCTCTTTCTCAGGCTGATATTTCAATTCTTTCTATGGCTGAGTAATACTCCATGATTTTTATATACCACATTTTCTTTATCCCCTCATGAATTGAAAGGCACTGACGATGAGTCCACATCTTTTAATTGTGAATTGTGCTGCGATAAACATTTCGAGTGCAAGTGTCTTTTGGATAAAATCACTTTATTTCCTTTGGGTGGATACCCATCAGTGGGATTACAGGAACAAATGGTAGGACTACATTTGTTTCTTTGAGGGCTCTCTCCATCCTGTTTTCCATAGAGGTTCTGCTAATTTGCAGTCCCACCACTGCATCAGCGTTTCTCTGTGCGTCTCTGTGCATCCACAGCAGCAAATTGTTTTTTCACTTTTTTTTTTTTTTTTTTTTGAGACAGAGTCTCAGCTTTGTTGCCCAGGCTAGAGTGAGTGCCGTGGCGTCAAGCCTACGCCTCACAGCACCTCCAAAACTCCAGGCTTCGGAGTGATCCTTCTGCCTCAGCCCTCCCCGAGTAGCTGGGACATCACCGGCATTGCAGCCACCATGCCGCTAATTTTTATATATACTATCCAGTTGGCCCAATTAATGTTCCTTCTATTTTAAGTAGAGACGGGGTCCCTCGCTCTCCCTTCTTCAGGCTGGTTTTGAAACTCCTGCCTTGAGCAATCCGCCGCCGTCGGGCCCGGCCCGTCCCCCCCCCCCAAGAGCTACAGGATTACAGGCGTGGACCCAAGCGGGCCGCGGCACGGTCGTTTTCACTTCTTTAATTGGCTATTCTGATGTAGGTGGTTGCGTTATTGTAATTTAATTTGCATTCCCTGATGATTAGTGGATGTTGAGCAGGTTCCATATGTTTGTTGGCCATTTATCTCTCTTCCAAAAACTTCTCTTCTGGTCTTTGTTCCACTTTTTGATGAGAGTGTTTATTTTCTCTTGTCGATTTGTTTGAATTCTTTGTAGATTTATGGATATCTTTTGTCAGATGTATAGTTATAAATATTTTTCTCCCATTCTGTAGGTTGCTTATTCAATATGTTGGTTATTTCCTTGCTGTACAGAGGTTTTCTAATTTAATTAAGTCCCATTTATTTATTTTATTGTTGCTATTTATTGAATAGGGCTTGCTTTCCTCAGTGACTGTTGTCCTGGTTTGTCAAAAATCAGTTGGTGGTAGTAGAACGGTTTTATTTCTGGGTCTCTGTTTGTTCACTTGGTTTATGTCCAGCCATGTCAAGCAATGCCCCAGATATGCCAAGTGATGCTGAGTGAGTTCCCACATATGCCAAAGGTGCCCATCAATGCCCAGTGATGCCCATCGATTTTTAGTGATGCAACGCGATGCCAGTGTTGCCCATCAGTGTCAGCAATGCCAATCGATGCCCAGTGATTTCTGGATATGCAAAATCATGCCCATCAATACCCAGTGATCCCCATCGATGCCCAGCCATGACCAGTAATGCCAAGCGATGCCCAGTGATGCCCAGCAATGGCCATTGATGTCAGGCGATGCCCATCGATGCCCAGTGATGCCCAGCAATGCCCAGTGATGCCAATCTATGCCCAGTGATGCCCATTGGTGCCCAAACAATACCCATCGATATCCAGTGATGCTGAGCGATGCCCACTGATGCGCAGTGATAGCAAGTGAATCCCAGTGATGCCCGGCGATGCTCATCGATCCCCAGTGATGTCCAGATATTCCAAGTGATGCCTATCGATGCCCTCTGATTCCCTGTGATGCCAAGCAATGCGCTTCAAGGCCCAGTGACACCCAGCGATTCCCAGTGATGCCCATCAATGCCCAGTGATGCTAGGCAATGCCCAGTAGTGCTCAGAGATACCCAGTGATGCCAAGTGATGCCCATTGGTGCCCAGTGATGCCAGGTGATGCCCAGCAATGCCCAGTGATGCCAAGTGATGCCCCAGTAATGCCCAGAGATGCCCAGTACATTGAAATATAGTTAATGGTATGTGTGTTCAAGTGTATGGGGTGAAAAGTACTGATTATCTGTATCTTGTTTTAGTGCTAAAAAAAATAAAATGGATGTGAAGGATAGAGGGATACATAGATATGTGATAAAGAAAAATAAGCCTCTGGGGGAGGCTGAGCGGGCGGATTGCTCGAGGTCAGGAGTTCGAAACCCAGCCTGAGCAAGAGTGACATCCCATCTCTACTATAAAAGAAAGAAATAATTGGCCAACTAATATATATAGAAAAATTAGCCGGGCATGTGGTGCATGCCTGTAGTCCGCCGCTACTTGGGAGGCTGAGGCAGTAGGATTGCCTGAGTCCAGGATATTGAGGTTGCTGTGAGCTAGGCTGACGCCACGGCACTCACTCTACAGCCGGCAACAAAGTGAGACTCTGTCTCAAAAAAAAAAAAAAAAGAAAAGAAAAGAAAAAATAGCAAAAATGTCAACTATAGCATGAAATTTGGCACCTATCTAACATTATATATAACACAAAAATAAATTACAGGTGGATTGTAATTCTAAGTATGAAAGATAAAGGATAAAGTTGTCTATGTTAGGAAACAGGGAGTCAAGGCTCAGCTCTTCCATGGCTTAGCTGTGTGGTAATTTCTCTTTATTTGTTAACGTAAGGGATTGGACCAGGTGATTTCTCTTTTTTTTTAAGTTTCTTTTTTTTTCTTTTTTTTTTTTTTGAGACACAGTCTCACTCTGTTGCCCGGGCTAGAGTGCCATGGCATCAGCCTAACTCACAGCAACCTCAAACTCCTGGGCTCAAGCAATCCTTCTGCCTCAGCCTTCCGAGTAGCTGGGACAACAGGCATGTGCCACCACGCCTGGCCTTAAGTTTCTTTTAAATTTTATTTTATATACAAAGAGCTTGCATGGTACTTTGTGGGTGCCGTGGAAAATCCATTCAAAGAAGATCACTTAGTCCAACTTAGTGAAACCGATGTCCTTCGCGTATTGATAGAAACACTGTTGGCACATATTGAGGCTGTATTTCAGGATCAGACAGTGCTGGTTTGAGCAGATACAACAAGCGTGAGAACCCTGGCCGAATTTTCTCGGGTGGCTCCAATAGAGCTGCTGGTGACCCATCTTGCTCTCAGGAGGCCAACGAGGCAAAAGGGTGGACCAGGTGATTTCTAATTTCCTTTCCAGATTTTAAATTCTCATGTCAAAAATCCCTATTCATTCTTTTCCTTATAGTCTATAAATGTATCCTGAGGAAATAATAAAACAAGTTTGTAAAAATACATGTTAATTGCAACACTTTGGTAATTGGGAAACACTGGCTATAGTCTAAATGTGCATTATTTGAGACTAGTTAAATAAATGATGGTACCTCCATGCAACGAATACCAGGGAATCATCAAAAAGGTGCTAGAGAATAGAATGATGGTTACTAGAGGCTGGAAGAATAGCCAGGTGGCGGTGGGAGGCTAAAGTGGGAACCATTAATGGGTGCAAAAAAATAGATAATTACGTAGAATGAATAATATTTGATAGCACAAAAAAGTGACTATAGTAAACAATAAGTTATATGCTATACTTTAAAATAACTAAAAAAATGGAATTAGAATGTTACTAACACTAAGAAATGATAAATGCTTGAAATGGTGATGGATACCCCAATTATCCTGATTTGTTTTTTACACATGGTATGCCTGTAGGAAAATATCACATGTACCCTGTAACGATATACAACTATTATGTACCCATAATAATAAAAAATAAACAATAGAGGGTGCTAGATCTTTATATTCAGGCATGGAAAGGTGTCCAGGATACACTGCTACATAGTTTCTATTTATAAGCTGATTGCAGAACAATAAAAGGTACAAATAATAAGATCGCATTTATGTAGAAAACATTTCAAATATTTCTTGGTCACCTATCATGTGTAAGAAGTCACTAGGCTAAACACTGGGGGAAAAACAGTGAATAAAACAGACATATTAGTGGGGAACTCAAAAAATAAAACAAATACATATAAAACCATCAATGCTATGAAGAAACACATAAAGGGTTCCAAAGTGACAGTAGGAGATCCTGTTTTAGTTAGGATGATGGAACAAAGCCCAGGAAGGCCTCTCTGTGGTGGCATTCAATCAGAAACCTGAATCACGCAGGAGGAGCTGTGCGAGGACTGGGGTGGGGGTGGGGAAGCCCCCTTCCAGGCAGAGTGAACAGCAACTGCAAACGCCTTTCACCTGGAAAGAACAAAGGTGCCTGATGAATGGCAACGTCCAACAGCTATCCAGGGGCACAGACCAGAGCCAGTGGCCAGATGCCCAGATCACAGGGCCTTGTTTGCCATGCTGAGCACTCGGGCCTTACTTGGCAGGAAGGAAGCCTCTGGAAGATTTCAGTGGGGCAGTGACCTCAGGTACGGTTTGCCGTCGGAGTCCTTGGACGCCGTGGATGCTCAAATCCCTTATGTAAAATGGCATAGTAAGTGGGCCCTCCGTATCCGCGGGTTCCGTGTCCATGCATAAGTCGATTGTACTGCCCGAAAGGCTGCCCTGGAAGCTACACGTAGAGTGGATTGTGGAGGAGCAAGAATGGAAACAGGGAGGTCATCCAGAGCATCCGGCTGACAGGTGTGAGGCCAGGGGGGAATCCCAGACGACCGCGGTCCGTGCGTATGCTTGTGTTTGCAGGAAAACAAACTTTGGAAGAAAAGGATAGAGGTTACCGGGGACCCATTTTCCTGGGGTAGCTGGAATTTTTGCAAAGGTGACCGTTCTCGCTCAGCCTTGGCCACGCAGGGGCGCCCGAGAGCCGCCGCGGGCCGGGCCTTCCTGCCGCGTGGCCAGCAGTGCTCTCCTGCCACCGCCCTCCACGTGCCGCAGGCAGCCGGAGACACGGAAGATGGGCAGCCTTCGGACTCGGATTCCGATATGACGGTCGCACCCAGCGACAGGCCGCTGCAGGTGCCGGCGAGTGAAGGGCGGGCCGGTGATGCGGGGCTGGGCGCTGGCTGGCGGGCGGGCGGCTTCCTCCAGTCCTGAGCGAGAACAGGCTAAGGGAGCCCGCGGCGGCAGTCAGGTGGGCTGGAGTCTCCTGGCCGGGCTTGTGGAGGTGATTTGCTTTTTACATGCTTTTTTTCTTTAGTTTTTAAAAAATAGTCCCTTTGAGGATGAGACCATGAGGCTTCGACAGCTGAAACCAGACAATCAGGTGGGTAGAGTCTCCCCTTTTGAAATAGGTGGCCAACCGTGTTGACAGTGAAGCTGGTGGACTTGGCTCTGAAGGCTTGGCAGGGCCATGGAGAGAAGAGTGGCTATGGCGAGACCAGGGCGCTCTGAGGACATCAGCGATAAAATTTACCTTGGATTTGTAATCACTGAAAATTCCTTGGTACTTTCATAAGAATTAGAAGAATGTTAACATTGTATTAATGTAGTAATTTGGTTCTGTTACCTTAAATACCTCTCTATACTGTAATTTCATTTAGCTGCAATATAGTTTTCTCATCCTGAAATGCAGGTCTGCATTTGCTGCTATGCTACTTAACAACCACCATTTGCTACAGAATAATTTTCTACCTAGTCCCAGTTTTTAGGTAAACATTTTTTTATGTGTGTGGGCAATGGTTTTACTTATGTTTGCTTTCTCCACTAGACTAAGCTCCAGGAGAAGAGGAACCAAATGTGTTTTTGGTAACCCGTATATCAGATGTTCCTGGCATAAGGCTGGGTATATAACAATCCATTAGATATTTGAATGAAGGAAGAAATAAATGAAGAGTTTTGTATTGTTTCATGGTATGATCATTATGATTAGGCAGCTTAGAACCTATACTTAATATGATTTCTTTCTTTCTTTTCTTTTTTTTTTTTTTTTGAGATAGAGTCTCACTCTGTTGCCCAGGCTAGAGTGCCGTTGTGTCAGCCTAGCTCATAGCAACCTCAAATTCCTGGGCTCAAGTGATTCTTCTGCCTCAGCCTCCTGAGTAGCTGGGACTACAGGCATGTGCCACCATGCCTGGCTAATTTTTTAAACATATTTTTAGTTGGCCAATTAATTTCTTTGTATTTTTAGTAAGAAGACGGGTCTGACTTTTTACTCAGGTGTTTTCAAACTCCTGACCTTGAACAATCCTCCCGCCTCGCCTCCCAGAGAGCTAGGATTACAGGTGTGAGCCACTGCGCCTGGCCACTCAATATGCTTTCATATTTGCTTTTTTATATGAATGTTTTCTAATGTAGGATCATTAATAATCAAGATGTCTATATTCTGTGGGAGACTAAAGGACTCTAAAGTTTTATCTTCTTTATGTTGTTGGTGGAATTAATGATGGGACATCTGGCCTAATAAATTACTTGCAAGGTAGAATCCCCTCCTCCCCTCCCCTCCCCTCCTCCCTCCCCCCTCCCTCCCTCCCTCCCTCCCCTCGCCTCCCCTCCCCCTGTTGCCCAGAGTGGAATGCTGTGGCGTCAGCCTAGTTCACAGAAACCTCAAACTCCTGGGATCCAGTGATCCCACCTGTGTCTTGCCATTCTAAAGTTTTTTTATTTCCTGTCTCTTGCCAAAGAAAACCTCACCTAATCTTAACATACCATATTCTCTCCAGCTGCCAACTGGCCTTGGTGCCCAGCAGGAGCTGAAGGCTGGGAAGCTGTGAGCTCTAAAAGGGCCTAGTGAGTGAGCATATGAGAATTAGGCAGCAGAGCCCTTTTTCTTGTGATACTTTCTTTAAGCCTTCTAGTGACAAGGTAAACCCTAACCCCGACCCTAAACCCTAACACTAAACCTATCCCTAAACTTTAACCCTAACCCAAACCCAAACCTATCCCTAACACTTACTTCTAGCCCTGTAACATTAAAGCTTAAAGCCTAAACCTAACCTAATACCAACCTAGCCCTAAAACCTAATGCAAACCCTCTTAACCCTAAACCTTAATACTACACCACAAAACTAACCACCAAACCCTGAAGCCCTAAACAACTAAACCCTGATACTGACCACTAACCCTACACACCTACACCCGAAACGGTAACTGTAACCCTAGCACCGTAACCCTATCACTCTAAACCTAAACCTCTAACCTTCTAATCCTCTAACCCTAACACTCTGGCCTTAAACCATAACCCTAACCCCAATACCCAACCCTAAAGCCCTAAGCCTCTAACCCCCAACCCTGACCCCTGACCAAGGACCCAAACCACAACCACTACCCTACCTACACCCTAAATAACCCTAACCTTACATCAGGACCCTAACAATATTAAAACCATAACACCCTAAATCCTAACCCTAAAACCAGAACCTTAAACTCTCTAACCCTAAACTGTAAACCACAACCCTCTAACCCCTAACCCTAACTCTAAGCTTAAATCATAAACCCTAACCCTAAACCCATCCCCAAGCCTTATCTGCTAATGCCTAACCCCAACTCTTAACACTAACCCAGCCTCAAGTCTAATACTGAACCCTAAACTCTAACCCTAAACCCCAAATCATCTAACCCTAACCCACCAAACCTAACCATAACGCCCTTACCAAGCCTCCTAAACCCTAATGCTAACCACTGACCCTGAACCCAACCCTGACCCCACAACTAACCTATTAACCCTCAAACCTGCCACTAACCCACCTTCTAACCCTAATAATCTCCCTGACCACCTAACCCTAACCCCAATCCTAAAAACCATAACCATAACCCTAATAACCCTAACCCCTAATCCTCATTCTCACCTCAGCCCCTCATGCCAAAACCTCAATCCAATCCTTCATCCCTCACACTCACTCCATCCTTGCACCTGACCTTCACCCTCACCCAAAGTGCTAACACTAACCCCTAACTGCAATCCCAATCCCAACCCCTAAACCCGACCTTAAACCCTAACCCTAAACTCTACACCCTAACCTTAACCTTAACTCTAATATTCTATCCCTAACCCTAATATTCCATCCCTAGCTTTCCAACCTTAAGCCTCTAACCTTGAATTCCTTACCACTCCCTCATCCAAATCCTAACTCTAACCCAGTGCCGCTAACCCTAACTGTAGGCCTATCTCTAACTCTCATCCTAACCCTAAGCCTCCAATACTAACTCTAACTACCTAATCGTAAACATAACCGTATCCCTCACCCTATCCTTAACCTCCTAACCCTATTCTACCACTACCCCATCCTCAACCCCAACACAACCCCTATACCACTAACTCTAACCCCCTAATCTTATAACCCTAACCTCTTAATGCTAACCCTACCCCAACCACAACCTCTATCCTACCCTTCACCATAACTATAATGGTAACCCATAATAAAGAAAACAAAAGCATGACATCATAAGGACATAGAACTACACACCAATATCTTTTCTCATCATAGATGTGTACTTTTAACAAAGTAACAGTACAATTACTCCTTCAGTAATGGAAGAGGATTGGTTCTTACACTACTTCCATTACCAACAACCCAGCATCCTCACGTTCTGCTGAAAGTCTTCTGCAACCCATGGATTTGAAAAGTTGGTCTTTTGTATACTGAGATTTCACATCCCCCAAATGCTAGATTTTTGATCCTTTTTAGGTTGTAGAGTCAGAACCTTCCAATATAGAGAGATCCAAATGTTAACTATTTTAAAAAATTTGCATATAAGTGAAGCCACACTATTCAAATCCATGCCGTTTAAAGGCCAATTCTACAACACATGGAAAGGATTATATACCATGATCAAGAGGCCTTTATTCAAGAAAATCAAGAATAGTTCAGGCCGGGCGCGGTGACTCATGCTTGTAATCCTAGCACTCTGGGAGGCCGAGGCGAGTGGATTGCTCGAGGTCAGGAGTTTGAAACCAGCCTGAGCGAGAGCGAGACCCCATCTCTACTATAAATAGAAAGAAATTAATTGGCCAACTAATATATACAGAAAAAATTAGCCGGGCATGGTGGCATGTGCCTCCAGTCCCAGCTACTCAGGAGGCAGCAGGATTGCTTGAGCCTAGGAGTTTGAGGTTGCTATGAGCTAGGCTGACGCCACAGCACTCACTCTAGCCTGGACAACAAAGCGAGACTCTGTCTCAAAAAAAAAAAAAAAAAAAAAAGAATAGTTCAACATGCTAAAGTCATCTATATAATACACCATATTAACAGAATGAAGGAAATATATCACATCATCATATCAATTCTTACAGAAGGAGCTTTAAACAAAATCCAACACCATTTTATTTTCTAAAAAGCTAACAAGCTAGGAATAGAATGTAATTTTATCAACAAATTAAAGAGCATTTATGCAAAATACACAGCAAACAGCGTCTCAATGGTGAGCACCGAGAGCTTTGCTGCTAAGATCAGGAACAAGGCAAATATGCTCACTTTAACTTCTGCATTCAACATTACACTGCACAACAAATCTGGAGGCATCATATTACGTGAAATCAAATTATACTACAAGGTTAGAGTGACAAAAACAGCATGGTACTGGTATAAAACTAGAGACATAGACAAGAGAACAAAACAGAGAACACAGTAATAAAGCCATCTACCTACCACCAACTGATTTTTGACTTTAACGAAGCCCTATTCCATAAATATTGCTGGGAAAATTCCATAGCCACATGCAGAAGAATGAAAAAGGACCCCTCTCTCACCATATACAAAAATCAATTCAAGATGAAGACTTAAATGAAAAGCATGAAACCATAGAAATTCTAGAAAAAAGTAGGAAAAACTTTTTAGACATCAGCCTAGGCAAATCATTTATGACTAAGACCACAAAGACAAATATAGCAGCAACAAAAATAAATAAATGGGACTTAATTAGAAAACTTCTGCACAGCAAAGGAAATAATCAACAGAATGAATAGACAACCTACAGAATGGGAGAAAATATTCCAAACTATACATCTCGCAAAGAACATACAAAGAACTCATATCATGAAGGAAAAAATAAACACCCTGATCAAAAAGTGGGCAAAAGACTGGAATAGAAGTTCTTGGAAAGAAGATAGACAAATTGCCAAGAAACATGAAAAACGGCTCAACATAACTAATCATCAGAGAAATGCAAATTAAAACTACAATAAGATACCACCTTACCCTAATCAGAATAGCTGTTATTAAAAACTCCAAAAACAATAGGTGCTGCCACAGATGCACAGAGAAAGGAATGCTGATACACTGGTGGGACTGCAAATTAGTAGAACCTCTATGGAAAACAGTATGGAGGGTCCTAAAACAAATGTAGACCTACCATTTGATCCAGCAATCCTACTCCTGGGTATCTACCCTAAGGAAATGAAGTCATTTTATCCTGCACTCAAATGTTTATCACAGCACAATTCACAATTGTAAAGATGTGGAATCAACATCAGTGCCCTTCAATTCATGAGGGGACAAAAATGTGTGTATATATGTGTGTGTGTGTGTATATATATATATATATATATGCATATAAGTTATGAAGTACTATTCAGCCATGAAAATGAATGAAATAACAGCCTGAGCAAGAGTGAGACCCAGTCTCTAAAAAAAAAAAAAAAAAAAAAAAAAGGAAAAATTAGCCAGGCATGGTGGCATGTCCCTGTAATCCCAGCTACTGAGGAGGCTGAGACAGGAGAATCATTTGAGCTCAGGACTGTGAGGTTGCAGTGAGCTATGATCATGCCACTGACTTCTATCCCAGGAAACAGAGCAAGACCCTATCTCTAAAAAAAAAAGGGGGGGGGGTTAACTAATGTCATTTACAGTAATGTAGAGGGGACTGGACACCATTATCCTAAGTGAACTATCTCAGGAATGGAAAACCAAA